CACGCATGTTGCAGATAACCTGAGAGCATTAAATGGAACTTAGCTTGCGAAGACGTTCGAGAGTGAAGCATAGCAGCTTTGAAGTGGATGCTTGATCTCTTGATATCCTTATTTGGGATGAAGTTCCCATCTGAACTTGTTCTTGAGTCAGTCACATAACTCGTGGAGTCCATGACAATAATGTAGCAATGCGTGAAATAATGCTGACTCAGTCACTTCCGAATCAGGCAGCTTATTATCAATGCAGTGAGTTCACGTGTTCAAGTTAACGAATTTGAATGAATCGGAGGTGAGACCATTGGGGAAACGAATTCCACTTCTCTAAATTCCCGATTCCTAGTGATGATGGTGTTTTGCCTGCCGAATTCGCCATTTAATTAGCAACTGAGCAATGCGAAAACTGCTGATAATACTGAGGGACCTTATATATGAATGCTTAGATAGGTGTTGTATTCCCATAGGTTGATGGGGATCAGCTGAGTCAGCTGATGCGAGCTTGACTAACGTGACCTGCCAGAACTAACGCTATGCTAGATATGAATCACCAAGAACAACGGTTTTACCTAAAAACCTTCTTAAATGTTCTACTGAAGAAAAAAGTCACCTATACATCTTGGATGGCCTGAGGGTGAGTAAGTTAGCAGCATATTTTAATTTTTGGGTGAACTATCACTTTAAACTTAAAAAGCATGAACTTAAAAGACTTTCTTCACTGACAATCCATGACACACTTCTGAAGGCAAATATTCATTTTTCAAAAGAGTTAAAGTATCATGTTACTGTTTTGCTAACCAATTTGACCAATTAATGGAAAAGAGCGGACTCAAAAGATTGAATCGATTATGAATTAGATAAATCTTGTTCTACATTAACAACATACTTAGAGAACACACATCATGATTGCTGCAAGATTGTGATTCTGATGAAGATGCATAAGCTTAAAAAACACTCACCTTCTGACTGAATCTTCTGCTTTAACTCTATGATTTCATCCTCCATTTTCTTCAGTTTCTCTTCATATTTCTCCTCTGTTTGATGTCTGGCTCTGTTCTCCTGAGCTTGCACATAAATCTGAGGTGAATATGGTTCAGTCTTCATGTTCTCTATATAATCCAGTAGTTCTGGGATCTGTCTTGAGTTTTCATGCTCTTTTAAACCCATCACACAGTACCGACCTCCACAACGACTGATTAACCTCTGAGATTCTGGGCTGTTTTTTATAAACTCTGTCACTGGTCTTTTAACAGTGCCTTCACTGATAAACATTACTATGAAATGCTCTCTGGAATAAAAGTTATTCTGGATCTTCTCTAATTCTGTTTTGTCTTCATCAGTCAGTGGACCAGCAGGAACAATGAGGAGGAAAACATGAACTCCAGGATCACAGAGACACACACAGCAGAGAGTCTGATGCATCACTTCCTTCTCTGAGAGCCGAGTCAGAGCTGGAAGCTCCACCAGACTGATCAGACGACCATGAGTCCTCTCCTCTTTCTTCACACACTCTTCACTGCTCTCTCTCTGATGTGGTGTTATATTTTTTCTTCGTAAAAGTTTGGACACAGAGACTTTAAATGTTGGATCACTTCCACACAGAACCAGGTTCAGCTTCTGTTTTCCAGAGAAATTTGCTGGCACTGAAAACATATTAAAAACATTAAACTTCCTGAAACAACAACCACATTTTAGAATATGAAAATGTTAGCTTCCAATAGTTTCATCAACTTACAGTTGGAGCGAATCCAGTCTCTTATATCAACTGTAAAAAAAAAAGAAAAAAAAAAAGAATGTCTGACAATGTACAAAAAGTCATGCTGTATTCTGTCATTCCAAATTTTAAATCTGCAATCATCTTTCATATAAACTTTTTTGTCGTTGTTAATTTTATTTGCTAAGCATTTTTTTTCTTTTGTTATTTGGTCCAAAGCATTAAAGCTGTTCCCTGTTCCTCAATTCATTCTTGTGTTCATGTTCCAATTCACTTCCTTTGAGTTTTTCATTTCACATTATGCACATGTACACTTTATTCAATGAGAATGATTCACAGTACAGGTTTTGTGAAACACTGTCTGCTGGAAACTTTCCAGCACACAGTTCACAGGGCACAAGTTTAACAACAGTAACAAAATAAGTGCTGCTGATAGTCAAACTGATATGAAAGCTCTTACCATGTTTTGTTTGGAAGCTTTTTTTATGATTAAAATGTAGTTTTGTATAGTTATTCTATTTCATTAGCATAATAAGAAGAGAAATTCTAAAAACATACTTAGACTTTCTTCACTTCTCTTGCTCTGTTTTGGTTTTCCATCATCGTTGTAATAAGAACGCTCTTTGTTTTTTTCCTCTGATCTGACTAAACCATGAGATCTTTGCTCTTCATCCACTGATGTTCCTTCAGCATCATGAAATATTTCACATGTGAGACATTTTTCCTGGTTTTCCTGAAGTATCTTATCAACCCTCTTGAGTATGTCAGATTGCCATTCTGGGGTTTTTTTTTCAAACTCCATATGTCTTCCTCCACACTCCTTTATTAACTGATGAATAGCTGTCTGCTTTATCATAGGCCTCATGTTTGAGTAATCTCTCTCTTCATCAGTCGTGAGAACGATGGTACGTTTAATCGCTTCTCCACTGAATCTCTCCAGCACATATTTCACTCTTCTCAGGTCCTCTTCAGTGAAGTCTTTATACTGCAGTGTGATTATGAAGACATGAGGTCCTGGATCAGACTGATTCACACACTCTCTCACTGTCTGTGTGATCTGATGATCTGAGAGGTTAGGATTCAGCAGATGAAGAGTGTTAATGACTGTGACGTGTCTGTTCTTCACTGTTCCACTGATTTTCAGCACATCGTGCTGCTTTATAGGTGCATCACTCTCATGCACATCTATTCCCAGGATCGAGTTTCTGACTCTGCTGTTTTCTGATACATTCTTCCCCAGAAGAACAATCCTCAGATCACACACTGAAACACACAAAAACACATGCATATATAGAAACACTGAAAATATTTAATATTCTGGTTTTAATTAAGGAATGATAAAAGGTTTGGCTTTGATTCAGATAGGCTAATTGAATTAATTCACAACATGATTTTCCATTACAACAACACATTTTTCTTTCACCAGAAAGAAGAACAATTCAAATATAGCTATAATTTAATGAACTTACTGTTAGGGCGTTCTTCACTTTGACTTCGTCGCCTTTGCCTCTCTGAAAATAACATCAGCCATATCAGATGTGATGAATATGACATGATTGAACCTTCACAATGATCATGACTGACTGGATTTAGTGAATGTGTACAGAACATATGGAGGTTTTATGCAATGATAAACATGAAAGACAGAATATTGGGTTACACTTTAGAATAATGGTTTGTCATATTAGGTAACTATGTAGGAAATAATGCAGGGCAAATGGATATCACTATATAAACACTTCACTAATATGGAAACAAGATTAACCAATCAGTAATTAATAGCGAATTTAGAACTGTGATAGTTCATTATTACTGAAGAGATTAGATATATTAAGAACTATGACCAATTATAAAGAATTACTAATTAATTATGCGTCTTTAGAGAAACCTCAAATTTATGTTTAATACCAACCAAATACCTATTGCTCTCATTGAGCAATGACTGATTACCTAATAAGGGACATATAAAGGTTATCAGTGCTAAATTCATAATCCTAAAATCAATCAAATTTACTGATTAGTTTGTTTACAAATTAAAATTAGCTAATGGTTGTAAGTGAAGTAATATATAATGTAGTACTACTCACTGTCCTGCATTACTTTCTGTATAGTTTGTTACTTATTAATGACAGACCATTATTTAATACATTTCAGCTTTGGCATTTGGCATATACTTGGGAATCAAATAGGAATATTAACATGTTCATCATCAATTTATATTTCATTTCTCTGTGTGAAAATTACCAAACTAAACATTACTAGGTGAACCTTTAAAATCAGACACATTTGAATAATCAAATTGGCATATGAACACATTCTTCATAGCAGCTGGTAGCAAGTGTAGAAGACTTACTGCTGTCTTCTTCATGCAGCGATGAGACCTGCTGTGTCTCTTCAACTACACCATGACTGATTATTTCATCCACTTGTTGAAGTATTTGAGAGCGTTGTGTATTTTGTGCAAGTTGAAGGCGTCCTCCTCCACATTCTGTAGATATTTCTTGAATATATTTATTTTCAAATGTATGTTCAGTGCTGTGTGTCTCATCATCAGTAGTCAGAATCATAGTGCGCTTCATCGCCTGCTCACCAAAGCAGTTCAACACTGAAGGTAATATGTCTCTATTTTTCTGACTAAAATCATTGTGCTGCAGCACCAGTATGATCACATGAGGTTCAGGAGGAGACAACTTGGACACGTATTGTGCTATTGTTTGTAGTCTGAGTACTGGCTTGAGCAGGTGAGTTGTGTTGATGACTGTGATGCTTCTCCTCTCCACTCTTTCCGCGAATGTCTCCACATCAGGTTGTGGTGTTTTCTTTCCAAACACATTTTTATTTAAGATTAAGTTTCCCACTCTGATGTTTTCTGTCACGTTCTTCCCCACCAGGACAATCCTCAGATCACTCACTGAAACACACAATACACACCATGTTGTCAAATGGAGTTTTACAATTTATTACATAATAGAGAGTAAAAATCTTTGAATTAACATGCAAACATTAAGTCTGGTTTAATTATTGATGGTTTCAACATGTATCCTGTTTCACATAAAATGTAAGTTATTAATTAATATTAATACTATGTTTTTGTCTATCATAGTTTGTTTTGTTTTACTTACTGTTGGGACGATTACCAGTTGGGCTTTGGTCTCTCTTGATTTCTATAAATTAAAATAAATAAATAAACAAATAAATCAACAGTTATTAATGTCTTCATTATTATGCTTACTGACTAGAGCAAGTTAATAAGCCAAAGGACAATGCATACATTACAAAGCCATTTTTATCTGTAATTCAATGTTAAAGTTTCTATCTACTTGAACTCAAATAAAGGTGCAATATTGAATAAATGAATAGTTTTAACATATTTTTTTTTACAGATTTTACAGTTTGGCATTTTGTGAATAATTTAAGATGTAATACTTTAAAGGATTAGTTCACTTTCAAATTAAAATTTCCTGATAATTTACTCACCCCCATGTCATCCAAGATGTTTACGTCTTTGACATGGGGGTGAGTAAATTATCAGGAAATTTTAATTTGAAAGTGGACTAATCCTTTAAGACCTTTTTTCTATCAAAATGTTAATCAGATCAGATCTCCTCTGTATTTCTAGATTGTAACTGAGACACTGGTAGATCAAGTACGATTATAGATAGAAACAGCCAAGTATTTTTTGTCTGAACAATGAAAATTCCTGTGGTCAGAATGATTGCAGATCTCTGCCCACCCCTGTGCTAAAAAAGAAAAAACACACTGTCTCATGATCTGTAGTCTCTTTTGGCTCGTTTCCACTGAGCGGTACGGTTCGGTACAGTACAGTACGGTATGCAATTATGTCCGTTTCCACTGTCAGAAGTTGTGAATGGTACCAAAATAGCGAAACGTACCGTACCACTTTTTTGGTACCCTTCCGTTGGGGTACCTAGCACAGCAAAGGGTACCAAAAGGGTAGGGATGCTCCGATCGATCGGCCGGAGATCGGTATCGGCCGATAATCACATTTTATGACTCAATCGGTACTCACTAACTTGGCCGATCTCACGAACCGATCGCAATTTGATGACGTCAACGCGTGACGACGTACATGATGCGTGGGGACATAAATGATTTGGCGCCGCAGTCATGTCATCGCCGGTGTGGAAATGCTATGACGTTTCGAGAAACAATGAAAAATTCGTTATTTGTTGTGTATGTTTTGCATGATGATATGATGAATGGATGGTTTATTTTTAACAGCAGATTCAGAGACGTTAGAGTTGATCTGCGCATCACTGCACACATCTGTGGCGCATTACTGCTCCACGGCTACCGGAGCTGATTGCGGCCGCTCTAGTCAGTGCTTGTGTTTATGAGTCAGCCGCGGCACGTTTCTGACGTGGCTCTCCGCGCTGCTTGACTAAAAATAGTCTTTTGTGAGGGGTCACAGCATTGAGGACGGAACAAAACCTCGTCTGAGCTATAAGGGATAACGGTAACATAACACGCTGATCATGGGCTGCTTTTAAATGAACATTTATTTATAAAACAAAATATCTTCTTTGGCCACATTAGCCAAAAAACACTTGCGCCTTGTTTAGATTTTTTTACATGCTCATGTTTATTCAACGAAACCTTTTGGAAAATCAGTCAGTTTTGATATTGTGGCGAGCGCCACAAATAAATAAATGTATGGGAAACACATCCCACAGCACAACCACCTGAGCCCAACTTCAGTCACTACTCATCACCTTAACTTTAACTGTGTTTGTAGCCGGAGCCATAGCCAGACTGATAAACAAACATAGACCGGAAGTTAACTTCGGACCAGGTGCGTGCGCCCGATGAAACCGTCTGTATAAAGCTTGAAGCATCAGAATCGGCATCGGTATCGGCCGATCACCATGACAAGAAATCGGTACTCAGTATGTTCTCGTGGACTTGTGAAACGTCATTGCCCAAAACCCGCGTCATTTTCTAAATATTACTGTTATTGTGTCATGAAATGTAGTTTTAAGAGTTTTTCAGGCGAGAATGTAATTGTTTAAAACTCAAATCTGTGGTTTATTTATAAAGATAGCACCTATTTGAAAATGTGCTATGCCGATTTCGGAGCTCCAGGCGGTCACCGGGCGCTCAGTGCTCATGTATCCACGAGAGCAGCCTCAACTCGGCTAGTCCTTCCGACATTTGCCGCTGGCTCTGATGTCTCTTGCTGACTTTGTAGCATACGTTTGACTGCACTGTTTGCTTTTGTCTTTATTTCCTCTTATATAAGCCTCTTATACTTTGTACTTAGACTTTTATAATGGCTATTATTGTTCATTAAAACTGACATTTAACAAAAAGAAAAAAGAGGCAGAGTTGTGCTTATTGTCACGGTTCATCGTCGATCGCTACTTTCCGGCATACACCACGCCTACCAAGTAAGGGTACTATTGGCAGTGGAAACGCAAGCTCTCAGAGAGCAAGGAGATACAGAATTTAAGTCAAGTCAATTGTATGTGTATATTTAACTTAATACAAATACAAACTGCTTCAGAGTTACAATAAATGTGAGCATCACAAAAAAAAAAAAAAAAAGTTTAAGAAATAAGTAGTT